AGAAGCAAAACATTCTCCACCTGTGCTTCCCATCTCACAGGAGTCACCTTATTCTATGGAGCACTCCTGTTTACGTACTTACGCCCCACCACCGATTACTCTCCTGACACTGATAAGGTGGTTGCATTGTTTTATACTGTTGTCTTTCCCATGTTTAACCCAATAATCTACAGCTTCAGAAACAAGGATGTAAAAAATGCTCTCAAAAAGCTATTAGAAAGAAACCGGATTTTCAAATGAATATGAATTTTGATCATCTCATTGGCAGTGATTATGCCAGGATTCCCTTTGTGTCAACTCACATAAATATATAATTATTTTACAGAATTAAGGACAACTTTTAGACACTGATATCTTTGAATGTTTCATGTTCTCTTCCAGAAATATTTTTTCCATAATTCTTTTACTCTGCAAATCATTATTGGATTAATATTTGTAATAATAATAATTACACAGCAATTAGTGTTCCTAAAATATTATGTACATTGATGGATTATATTCTTTATAGTTTGTATTGAAGGTATATGTAGACTTCTCAGTCAACCCTATTAGAAGATCCCTGGCAGCAGGTCAAATATATATTGGCTTCTTTTTCTAACATCTATGTATATAGGTGTTATATTGCATACTCTTCTTATATGTGTGTTTAAGGGATGGATGGAGGGAGGGATGCATAGATTAATAGATGAATGAATGAATGCATAAATCTAGCCTTCTTTGTTTTGAAAAGTGTATTCTTCACTTATATTTATTAAAAGGGAATTTTTACATTACCAGTAGTGTGTGGTAAGACAGTAGTGGTGCTTTCACTGGCTCTGAGCAAATCCAATAGAAGACACAGAGCGATACTCTAATGTTAGAGAGGAGTGAAGTTATATAACTTTGTCTCTCTTAGGCTTGCTTGCCTTTCACCCACGAGTTTTAAAAAATGCCTCACATGGGGCACCACTCTGTCGGGTCCGCCGCTGGCCGACCCAAACAGCCCTAGCCTCGTTCCTTCTGGTGGGCGAGCGAATGGCCCGGATTCCTCTTTCCCTCCTGTCCCCTTTGGAAG